GGATTGTTCATCACAATCACCACAGCCAGATAGAAGTACATCCAGAGTGTAGTGATTGTGATTAACATCAAATAATTTATCCTTGAGGGTTTTACGTGGTTCATCATACTTATTACAAATGAGAAAAAAATGATGTACTGTTTCATGGGCATTACCACAGGTACAAGTTGATGATTCAGTAAGATGATCTCTGTGTAGATCAAAATTAAGGTTACTTGAAGAATTTCTAAGTTGGCAGAGTATGATGTTGTATTTTCTATCACCTGCGTTGACATAGGTAAAGTTTCTACTTGTGTCTAATAACATGATGTCACTTACAGCTCTTCATAAAAGTTTTTTAAATGAGTATAGTGATGTGATGTTAGTCAGGTCAAACCTTGCTGCAAGTTCATTATAATCTTTAAGTGAAGACGGAATAAAGCTTTTGGCATAAGTATTTGTTCTGCACACAGGAATTGTAAAGATTCTTTCATTTCTTAATAGGTATGAGTTCATATTGTTGAAAAAGGGTTCAATTAATTCAGTTAAATAAGTGGGTGCAGCTCCTGTAAGAATTTTGTATAGAAGAATAAGTCTGTGTTTTTTTCGTCTTGCAACAAGGGTGTCCCAACCAAGTTCACAATAAATTTTATAGTGCGAGGTTCCTTTACGCAGTCCTGTAATTAATCGAGCAGCCTCTATTTGGATAATTTCAAGTAAAGTTGCCTCCTGCTGAGTACAATTATCAAAAATGATATCACCATATTCTAGTATAGGTCTAATATAAGCGATATATATAGTGATTATTGTTTTACGACTCATTTTATATTTTACAGATTTCAATAATTTTATACGTTAATACGCTTTATTATAAATAAAGTTGATATGGTGATGCCACTTACCATCTTCAGAAAAAAATACACCAAGATGTTTATGAGTTGACACATTTGCTATGGTTTCATTTTGAAAAATGATATCAGGAGATATTATATTTCTTTTCCGACTAAAAGTTAAAGATTCCGTTTTAATAGGATTAAAATTTATGTCCCATTTCTTTGACCATATATTAACATTTTCAAGATCACTGGATAGACTATTGGCTGCATCGAGTGGAGTAGTTTGTATAACCTTAAAAAAGAGATGTATCATCGGCAAATAGTAGTTTCTCATTTGTTATACATTCAGTTATATCATTTATATAAATCAGAAATAGAAACGGACCGAGGACTGATCCCTGGGGAACACCAGCACTTACCTGTCTATATGATGAGATTTACGATTAGTTAAGTAATCTTTAAACCAATTAAGGAGATTTCCTTTCATACCATATTTTTCAAGTTTAAATAATAAGCCAGGATGCCAGACATGATCAAATGCCTTGCTTAAATCATAAAATATTGATCTAATTTCAAGTCCTTCATCAAGTTTTTGTATGATAGTATTAAACATGGATAATAATTGATAAACAGTAGAGTCACCAGGAATAAATCCAGACTGGTATTTTGTTAATAGTTCGAATTCCAGTAAGTGATTATATAAATGCTTGAAAATGATTTTTTCTAATATTTTACTGAAACATGAAGTAATAGAAATTGGATGGTAATTTGAGACATCATTTTTATCACCTTTACCTTTATATATAGCATTAATATTAGCCCATTTCCAAGGCAGAAGAATAGAACCAAATGACATGGTTTTATTAAATAACATAGTAAGGGGAGGTATTAGTGATGGAGAAAGAAGTTTAATAACTTTCGGTGTAATTTCATCAGATCCTGCAGGTTTCTTATCATTAAGTACAGTCAGTTGATCCCTCACATCCTGTTCCTGAAATAAAATGTTATTAAGTATGTTAGGAGACTCAGGAACAGGAGGCAAAGGATCAATTTTATCAGAGGACGTTGATATGGCTGTAAAATAACAAGACATTCGGCTTTATCAAGTGGATGAAGTAAAACAGTGTTATTGTCATTTAATAGTGGAATAATAGGTGACTTGTTGTTAATTTTTAGAATAGTTTTTGTGGTTTTCCACCATTTAGATGATGAGACATTGGGATCATTTAGAGAGTGTTCTAAATTTTGTATATATCTATCTTTAGTGGTACGTATTAAGCTGATGGCTTCATTTCTGATGTTCCTAAAATTTGCCCAGTGATCTGGATTATTGGTCTGTATTGCTTTTTTATGGATTCTATTCCTGTCTTAGCTTTAACCTTATCTCGTTTGACATCCATGGCTTATCATTTGGTAGGATAGTAATTTTCTTTATAGGTATACAGTCATCTATAGCTTTATTTATAGCATCATCAAGTACAGTATTAAAACCATTTACATCTTGTTGTTCATTTATACTTACCCAGTTTATGTTATCAATCATCTGATTCATTTTGATAACATCAGCATTATTATACAGGAGAAAATTTTTAGTATATGCATGTTGTCTAAATACAGAGTAAGAAGCACTGAAGTTAATTACAGAGTGATCACTACAGATTGGAGGAGTTAAAATTACATTTTTAACAATAGTATCATTATTGGTAAGAACAATATCAATTGAGGTAGAAGAATCCCGAGTTATTCTTGTAGGATCTTTTACATAATTGTACAGATTATATTTTGTTAAGTCTTTTTAAACGAGAGTTTGGCTGAATATTGCTCATATTTACATTAATGTCACCAGTAATAATAATGTCTGCATTTGTTCGCCTCGAGTCATCAGTTACATGATCTAGTAAATTATCAAGCTTGTTCCAGTAATCAATACTACTGTCAGGAGGTCTATAAATACAACCTAGGAGAAGTTTTTTGTTGCTAACTGTAATCTCTGACCATAATAGTTCTAAATCAGGAATCTCGAGATCTGGTCTTCTTTTCATAATGATATTGTCCTTATAATAAATTATATAAATTATATAATAAATTATATAATAAATTATAACGCCTCCCCCAGGACGTAGACAGCGGTCTTTTCTGAAAATTTGTTTAGAAAAGTTTTGGAGTAATAAGTCATTGTCATGAATTTGTTCATTAAGATGGCTCTCAGTTATACATATAATACCCTTATCACTCAATTCAGCTTCAACTATATCCAGTTTATTTCTTACTGAATGGATGTTTAAGCAACTAATGTCAAGACTGCATAAAGGACCTGGAATTTTTTTCAATATCCACATACATTATAGTTAGTATTAATATTAGAACAAATGAGAAATAGTCATTTGAATAATAACATATGTAATATAGGAGTTTTTGTCTGCCAAGTTTGCCATAGAATAACCAAGACTGATTGTTACATGAAGAGAATGTACATATACAATAATAATAATCAATAGCAGTGAGCAGAGACTGACAACCACTGGGATGTACTCCATGCAGTATAGTCATACTATACTTGTAAGCACAAATATTACCCGTTATCAAACGGATAAAATTTCATTACAAAAACCATGGGGTACAAAACAGCAGTCACAATACGTTCATATAAGACGGGCCACCATTAGAAAAGAAATCTGATAAACATATATTAGAGGGCGTAGCTCTCCCTATAGGTAACACGTATGTAAGAAAAATAAAGATTATTCACAATACCTATGGAACTGAAAAACTTGTCTTAACATGGCCGCCAGTCGCACACGCTGTAGTCTCCGCCATCTTGATCTCGAAACAAGTTCTCGTTTGCCGAATCTCGAACAAACGTTACATTTTTGTAACATTTAAAACTTATATATAACTATAGGACACTTAAATAGTTGATACTTTCCGGTTAAAGATGTAAATTCTCTTGAAAACGTTACCGGCTATATTGCTCTAGTTCTGAATGGTCGAAAAATTATTGTATCGGCAGTGTAGTCCCGTTCAATCAGACGCTTGTGCAGACAACAAGAGTCTGGTTGAACGAGACTATCACGCAGAGTTACGGTCCTTGCACTCCCAACGACAACTCTGGGTAGAGATTGCAGTGGTATATATTTTGAAAACAGAATATCAACAAAACAACGTGCTGGTTGTCAACAAAAAGGGAGTTTATCACAGTGACGTAAAATGATGGGATAAAAAAACATACCAGTATTTTCATAAGAATTTTTTAATTGATATTTTGCACGAAAAAAAACAAGAAAAAAATTGAATCCATACTGTTACATTTTCATTTTTGATTACTATCTCACAGCTATTTTTTTTTATTCATAAAAGAAAATCTGCTGTTTTACAAATCTGCATGATTTAAAAAACAATTCTATACAGTTTTATGTGCTGAACTGATTCAATTTCAAATTGAGGAAACAATACATTTTCTCTATTGCTAAAACTATATATAAAGCAGAGACATATAAAGCATGTAGTCAGTAAGTTGCTGAAACAAATGTATTTATCCACAATATATATATATAGATCTATTGACTCTCTTGGCTGGAATGATGGGTATTGAAAAATGACAAAAATTGTGATTTCGCATATTCTTCTTATTTTTAATAGAAACTTCATATTAATCCAGTTTTTATAGCATCGAACAAACTATTTTTTTTACACATAAAAAGGACAAAATTTATTGTAAAATACTATGCATAAATTCTCTCTGGATACAATATTTATAAATCATTGAAGTTAAGTTTGAAGTAATCCAAAGGGCTTATTCGTAAAGATATATATACATACGCAAGAATAGGTCCTCTACATCAGCGTTATAAATAATAATAAATAATAAATACATAATAATCTTTATTTAACGTCGTGTACAATTGTCAACAACAAACATAAGCTCTGTAGAGCTTTTATTACGACGCCGCTAAGGGAACAAATGGTGTTTTCGTGGAGGAGGAAACTCACGGGGGAAAACCACCGTGCCATCGGAGGGATAACAACTAACCCTATCAGACATCACTCTCTTGTTTCCCCCACCGCTGGGGATCGAACCGAAATTGGGAGAGCGAGTGTTCCTTGTCCGCGATGTTCTCAGCTTAATTGCTGCCTTAGGCTGTCTTTAGCCGAGGGGACTATTGTGTGTTTTTTTTTTTTATATAATAGCTATATTTTCAATTACAGTATATCAGTTCTATCTTCTTGTAATACGATGTATATGTACATGTAACTGTTCCGTTTCACTGCCGTTGGAATTACTTCTTTGCCCCATATATATATATATGTATATCTTTTCGTGGATATCAGATAACTATGCTTTTATACATGATAAACAATATCCATCCTAATATTTTTTATTTCAATGTCTTTGTAGAATATGCTGCACTTGATTTTTGCAATGGATTCAATTTAAGAGGTGCAAATTAAAATATTTATATAGAGTCTAATGAACCTTTCGCATTCTCACGTTAATGTCATGTCATCATACGCCTAGGCGGAAAACTTCAAGATATCAACCATCTTGTCAGCGAAAAAAAAGAAATCAAGAAAGGAAACTTAACTGTAATATACACTGTATAGCTATACATGTAGGTTTTATTTAGTAATTCAACACATCACTCAATGCTTGAAAGAGTACAGTACCGATATTCCGATACATTTACAGTACAACCTGGCTCCGCCCTCACTAACGGCCGTGCCGTAAAACATATTATTTGGTAATAAACATGATAAAGATAAAACGGAGATATTTACATACACAACTATTATATACATCAACATCAGGCAGGTTACATCAAAGTCTCTTGTCGTGTGTACACGAAAACGGTGATGAGACGGCCCTTTATTTTGTCGTCTGTACACGACAACGGGGACCAGGATGACATATTATTGTCGTGTGTACACGAGAACGGTACGGAAAGAGTTAAGCAACGATACATGTGGTGATAATGAACTGTGCTGTATTCCTAGTTCACCAAGGTTAAGCAACGACTCATGTGGTGATAATGAACTGTGCTGTATTCCTAGTTCACCAAGGTTAAGCAACAATACACTAGGTGCCAACGGATTGTCCTGTATTCCTAGTTCACCAAGGTTAAGCAACAATACATGTGGTGCCAACAGACTGTCCTGTATCTCTAGTTTCCTTCCCAATATTATCCTTCTTGTCTAGCATCATGACATCATTTTTCATCTGTAGCCAGGTGGCCAACGACTTTGGGAGAAATGCCCAGTCAGAGTATGTCCATGCTTTGTATTTGTACACTGTATCCAGACACATCCTGAAACAAGAGTACCGCGGAGCGGAACAATATACGCCCGTTGAATGCCATATAGTGTCATATACTTTCTTACATTGAAATAAGATCTGAATCATTCAAAGGGTGGTTAGCTGACATGATATAATAAGAGGCCCAGAGGGCCTGTATCGCTCACCTGAATATAATTAAAGTAATTGGTATGAAGTAAAGATAAAGCACTCCATGGTAGGTGCTGTAAGTACATATGAAATTTCAGAAAAATCCATCCAGTACTTGAGATATAGATAACAAACTTCAAACAGAGCCCCACCCTTATGCCCCTACGGGGGTCATACCCACCATTTATACAAAATTGAGTCACCGTCACCCAAGGATACTCCACACTAAATAAGGATACAAGAGGCCCAATGGGCCTGCATCGTTCACCTGGTATAAAACTCACACTTGTAACATTAAAAGTGATCTAAAATAAAAGGCAAAATATCAGTATTTATGATTAAAATTCATTCAAAAGACCCTGTTATTTATTTTTTTAAACATTTCACCCCTGTGATTGAAAGTCGAACAAAGTCATTATGTTGAACACATTGTATAGCCTTTCATCTCAGGATGCAACTTGCAAAGTATAAACATCCTGGGACCAATGGTTATTCAGAAGAGGTTGTTTAAAGATTTTAAACAAATTTGACCCCTGTGACCTTGAATATAAGTCAAAGTCATTCACTTTAACAAACAAAGTAGTCCTTGATCCCAGCATATGCTACTGACTAAATATCAACATCCTGAGCCTTTTGGTTATTCAGAACAAGTTGTTGAAATATTTTGAACA